AGTGGGTGATCATAGTGACAAGATCACTCCCTTTGTCAGACAAAGTGATTGATCGGGGAATGCACTATCTCTGATGGAAACCTAAACTGTCGGCAGTGGATTTCAAATGTGTTTGAATTTTGGTTTTGCAAAATATATTTATATAGAGATATACTTATATTATGGTTTCAAATTGTCTGTGAAAGGTTTTAATTCCCGGGATCCATGTGAGTAGAGAGTCCAGCATTGTACCTTGTAGCCGAAGGAGAGGTCTTATCTTGTCGGGCATTGTATGATCATTAAGGGCTGAGAGGTTAAGTGTAAGACCATTGCGGGTTATACATGAGGGGCTAATCTTGCATCTACCCACAGTCCTTGGGCTTTCATAAGATGACTGGACCTAAAGACCATTTAATGTAAATGGTGGGCCAAATAAGAGCCCATGGTGATGGACTCAGGGCTTCACTGTGTCATACAGTGAATTTGGCCATGCCTTGTAACTAAGGTTAGGTTGAACCCATGTGGCTGATGTGTAGATCAATGATAAAGTCCCACGCCATACAAAAAAAGCCAAGCTAGCCAACATTAAAAGGAAGTGAGCCTGAAAGCTTAATAGGCCTAAAGCCCATTTTGAACTGGGTTAATTGGATTAATTAATTAGGGGCGAATTTGGGTATGGATCAATAGATGAGGATAAGAGGATAACTCTTATCCACTTAAAGAGTCCAGATCTAAATCTCTATTTGGATAAGGAAACTTCTAATTTGATTAGGAGTAACTAATCTTGATCTGTAGATAAGATAAGGGATTATCCTTATCACTTAAAGAGTTCAGGTCCAAATAAAAATTTAGATCAAGAAACTCGTAATCAGATTAGGAGATTTAAGGGCTATACATAAAGAGCATGGCAGACCTGGAAAGGGTTACAAAGTTTGACTATTTATGCCTTCAGTTCTCTCTCACTGCTCTTGCTGTCCCACCCTGTTCGATCTCCATCTCTTATAAGTGGTCAATATTTGATCTTGATATTGTTTCTTGCTAGAAGAAACATTTCTGAAGCTGTACTCACTATCCCATTCGATTCTTGCTGAAGAATCAGCAGTTCTTGGTGAAGAACTACTTGCTAATCCTGCCTCATCCTAAGTTGTGTCATCTTTAGTGGAGGGAGAATTTGGTACTCTCTTTGGGCGTGAACACCTACGTTGGGAGGAGCTTTTTGCATGGATTCTATATCAGCTATACCTTTCCCTAATCTTGGTTTTAGATTTGGTTCAGTTTGATTACAAGAACGAACCTTGAAAATGTAGTTTTCTAAATTGGGAATACGATTCCCGGATGGGAGTAAGAAAATTTTTGAAATTTCGCCTAGCCACCTTGCATGGTTTGGCTATCCATATGATGGATCTTCTATCCCTTTACATCAACAGTTTGAGAACCTTTTGTCATGCAAAATGATTTTGCTTCTCATACATGGTCTTTAAACTATCCAAAATTTCTTTACAAGTTGTTATTTTATCAAATTGTCTCTGGATAGAGTTTTCTAGTGAGGCGGTGATGTAACAATGGACAAGGAAGTTCTTTTTTACCCATTCCCGATATTTTTTCTTTTTACCCTTAAAAGCACTTTCATTGGGATGTTCTTGTACTTTCTCGTTGGCAATTTTGTCCAATTTCTCGGATGTGAGCACCAGGTTAAGGTTGCAAATCCAGTCTGCATGGTTGGGTTCTTTGAATTTGTTATCATGTAACTACTTAGCAACTGGTCCGTGTGCCATTTCTAAAAAGTTACACGGGTAATTATTCCATTACCTAATTATTGTTTCATGTTATATATTATAAAATAAAGTTTTATCTACGTTCCATTTCCATTTGTTCATCTTTGAGACTTCCCTTTATCTTAGGGATAGAGATGTTATTCATGTTTCTAGAAATGTAGGGAGTCACATAGGTGCATGGGGCTAATTGTTTTAGCTACATAACCCCATCACTTTTTGCAAAGGATCATAAATCCATCAATGTCTCATGATCTTCCCCTTTTAAGTTAAACCTTTCTAATTGGTAAGTGTTGAATAGTCATGTTGGGAGCCCCAAGGTACGATGAAAGAATCTTCGATTTTAAGATATACCCCTCCCACTAGTCTATGATGCCCCTACCATCTAATGAAGCAATTCAACTGACTATTTCAAAGAAACAGATATCCCAATTTTATGGTGCAGTTTTGCTAATCAATTTAACCCGTTTTCATGTTAATGACGGAAGGTCTTTAGTGATCTCATCTTGTGATATTCCCTATCATCTAACAGTTATATCATTGATGAGGGAATATTTATATTAGTCCCTAGGTCAATTTTAGTTATTACCATAGTGGCTCCCAAAGACTTTTCATAAAGTCAGATTTAAGTGGACCCTAAATGGGCTAGGGTTCTTACAATGTTCCCTCTCCGAAGAGGAAACAGGAGAATGGTCCAACTTCTAACCAAATCATTACCATTAACATCACTTTCATGAGTGTTTGGAGGTGAAGCCTTTATTGGGCTGAACTCAAATAGCTGGGAAGAGGCACTCATAATCAAATCAGGTTAAACCTTTCACCTTGCATAACCTTTTTGCATCGTGCTTTCCAAGCATACCACATAATAAATATCTAATAAGCAAAGGACTAGCCATTGTTCATAGTCCACCAATGTGATAGCCAATCCATGAGACAACGATTTGGTTAATTATGCATTCAGATAACAATAATGATTTTAGTATTCTTATTAGAACCCATTGAGAAAGATAAGTAATCAAAGCAAGGTATGCTAATGGGTTTATCATATTTAATTTTGTTTAGTATGATAAATATATAATATTAGAGATGTATTAAAAAATTTTGGAATTTTTTTTTATATTTTTATATTTTTATATTTTTATATTTTTATATTTTTGTCTATTTTTGTTTTTATTATTTAATTTTGATATCATGTGTTGATCTATTTGAGTGAAAAAGGATCTTATTTTTGGACAAATTTAAAATTTCTATTCCATTTCCATAATTAATTCTAAAAATAATCCTCATTTATGCACTTATCTTTATTCAATATGATAAATTTATAATATTTGTGATATATCAATTTTTTGTTTTATGTATTTTGTAATTTTGTATATCTATCTATTTATTATTTTTTTATTATTTAATTATATGGCATCATTGGTTGACCCATTTTACCATAATGATTGGACCGATAGGACCGTTATGGTGCAAGTCAGGCATGCTAGATTGAGATTAAGTACAACTCAGGCCCAAAATGCATTGGGCTTGACAAGTCCAATGTCAAGCTTGATCTATAACTTGGGCCTAACCTATACTAAAATTTGATGGATTCATGTTGAACTCAAACATGAGTTTGTCAATCAGTTCCATGAGTTTGACACAAACGTGTGCTTCTTTTTTGGTAGAAAAATAAATGCACGTGTATATGTATGCATGTATGCAAATGTTTCTATTTATGTATGCATATATGTATGTATGTGTATATATAGTCAAGCCGGGCTTGGGCTATCTAAGGGCTAGGCTTAGGCCTAATATGAAAAATAGAAAGGTACAAACTTTTTGGCCTAGGGCTAGGCCTAGCCCAAAGACCAAAGACCCATGCCTATTTGTCTAAAACTGTGAGTTGGGTCAAATTTGTTTTATTCTTTATTCTATTTTCATCATGATAACTCTTATTTATCGCTTCTATTTTTGTATAATATGATGTATGCATAATATTATAGATGACCCAAATATTTTGTGCAGAAATTTTATATTTTTTAATAATTATTTGTGTTTCTATCTTTTCTAATGTTTTTGTTATTTAATTATGACATCATGACATCATGGGTTGATCCATTCAACTTAAAGGTTTGAACCATTGACCCAACACTTATTTTTGTATTTGATTTCCATCATTAATAAAATTACTTCTTATTTATCATATTTATTTTTTTAATATGATAAATATATAATATTAGACATATGCCTAAAATTTTGCACAAACTTGTAATTATATATTTTTATTTATTTTTAATATATATTATTTAACTATGAGACCAATGGTTGACCCATTTTGAAGCAAAAATGGGTGAACTACTTATTCACCACTTGAATAGAAAGATAGTTTAGTTTTCATGATAGTCCTAAACACATAGGTTTTATATTGGTAAATTATTGAATGTAAATCTAATCAGTAGAATTTATTAGTAAAAAACAAAAATATCTCAAATAAAGAATCTAAGGAAAGACAATTTGTGTTATCACCTAATAAAAATGAGTTTAATAAGTAAAAAGCAATAGTACTTAATTACAGTTCCAAGAAAAAGTGTACAAAGCTCATTTATTTAATATAATTAATGAGAGAGAATAGAATGAATTTAATAGATATATAATATAATAACCAAATTCAAAAATTACATTTTTTTCATCCTCCTAATGAAGAATGACCAAATTCTAAAATAAGGGTATTTTAATTATAAAATGTCTAGAATATAAACCTCATTTCTACTTTCGATTATGGTATAAATATATAATATATAATTACCTTATTCTTAGGTGCTATTTATCAAATTCACGACCTGCTTTGATGAGTTAAAGATTTTCTAGTATCATTCCTTTTAACTCGTAAGTCAAGTAACGGACTCCTCAAAAATGGAGCATACTCCGTGTTTAGATGCCTTGCGCCATTGGAGTACTAATTGCCATTTTAATAGTGGTATTCCGGCAGATCCGGACTCCTCAAAAATAGACACTCTCTTTTAATAAATACATGTTGTAAATGATCAACAAGCAACCCAGTCCAAAGATCATCGTTTTGGTACGAGAACCCAGACAAGAGATTGAGAGAGATCGTGATCTGGGTTATTGTTTGTCCCTACTTCGAATCAACCAAGCTTTCGCTTGTTCCATCTCTGATCACCAGCCAGAGTGGGCAAGCGAAAGCCATCAATAAGGGAAGGTTCTCTTGCTTCCTTCTTTGAAGTTTTCTACGTACAGGGAACGACGATGACGGCACTCCTTATCCCAGCTTTATTTCTTTCTTTAAGCTTAATGAGTCTTCTTCCGCCTTTGGGGGAAGCGGTTTGGTTAAATCTTCCTCCTTCAACAACCAAGTGCGTTTCAGAAGAAATCCAAAATAACATCGTTGTCTTGGGTGATTATAATGTCGTCGCCAACAACCGATCCTACGACCTCCCCGGCATCAATGCCAAGGTACGGTTTAATAATTTCTACCTCAGAATCAAAATTCCTCACTACACTTTATTATTTGATTGACGATTGATCATGCCACCTCTACATATACAAATCACTTGATAAATCCACTTTCTTTCAGGTGACATCTCCATATGGAAACTCTATCTATGCAGAGGAAAATGTCACTGAAGGCCGGTTTGGATTCACAACAACCGATTCTGGGAAGTACTTGGTTTGTTTTTGGATGCATAACTATCATGAAGTGGTAGGAGCAAGCATTAACCTTGATTGGAAGATTGGAATTGCTGCAAAGGACTGGGAATCTGTTGCAAGAGATGAAAAGATCGAGGTTTGCACATGATTTCTTCCTCTCTCTCTCTCTCTCTCTCTCTTTACCCTTTTGGCTCAGTGCTTTGATTGATATGTAAATCCAATGCCATGTAGGGTGTTGCGCTAGAGCTGAGGAGACATGAAGCAATAGCCAAGTCCATTCATGCAACTATGGTCCGTCTCAGAAGCAGGTATTTTTCTATTATATATGATTCAATGCATCCAAATTTGGTTTCCATTCTGTACGTACGTGGGTAGAATAACATTTAATTAATTTATTATTCGTTGTTCATTGATAGGGAATTGGTAATGAGGAAGGTAAGTGAAACAACCAATGACAGAGTATCAACGTACAGTATCATGTCCTTGATGATCTGCGTAGTCGTTTCATCTTTGCAACTATGGAATTTGAAATGCTACTTCCGAAAGAAGAAGATTATTTAGAACTGTGGAGTTGGTTAGTCTCCGAATGCAGAACCTACAACCATTTCAAGGAATGATCACAAATTAGATCTTTGTACCAACACTTTCTTTTCTTCGTTTTCTTACCTGGGGCAAAGTTTTGGCATGGGTAGAAAGAATTTCCCGGCTTCCCGACCTTGCTGAAAGAGGATGGAATCCAAAATTGGCTAACTACATGGAAGTGTTTATGGTTATTTGCTGTGTACTTTTTTTTTTGAGTTCTAGAAACTTGACACCCACAAAAACATGTATATAATTGCTTTTTGCTAAAGCATCAATAAATAGATATGGTTCTACCAAAAAAAATAATATTTGAGTTTCAAGAAGGCGCTCCACCATTTGTGTATATATTTTAATATTCACATTTTACATATGCTTATACTTTATCCCACATGTTCGTCACCTATTCGACCAAGGCCATGTTTGGGAGTGCTAAAAATAAGTGATTATTTGAAATAAATGTTTATTTGGGCTGGGATCACACCATTAAGCATTTATTGATGTTTGGGAAATAGGTTCGAAATAAGAGTTTATTTTAAAAATAAGGGCTTATTTTTAAAGCCCAAATTTCCAGCTTTTTTTTTTTTTCAAGTGCTTATACAATAAGCACTTATGCAATTTTTTTTCTTCCAAAATTATCCCTACCTGAATTTTAAAATATCACTTAAAAAAGTATCCATAGTTGAATTTTATAAAAATGCTTTTGTAAAAGTGCTTTCATAAAAGTACTTTTATAATGGTACTTTTATAAAAGTGTCTTCGTAAAAATATTTTCATAAAAATGCTTTCATAAAAGTACTTTTATAAAAATGCTTTCGTAAAAGTGCTTTCATAAAGTACTCTTATAAAAGTTCTTTTATTAAAGTGCTTTCATAAAAGTACTTTTATAAAAGTGTTTTTTGTAAAATTTGAAATAAAATGAAGGGAAAATTCCAGATTAGTACCCCATACTTTGGCTCAAGTGACAATTTGGTCCCCGAACTTTAAAATGCGACAATCTAGTACCCAAACTTTTAATTTGCGACAATTCGGTACCTGGCGTTAACTCACCGTCAGCCCGGGCCATCACTTGAGATCAGGTGCAGTTTAAATAATTCCATAATGCCAAAACTAACATTTATGATAATATTTACACCATTTTACCCTTTTCCTTTCCTTTTACATGGAGGAGATTGTTAGATGTGTGAAGAAAAATCAGAAGTCCAATCATAGAAGAAATAGAGATACTCAGTAACGCTCTCTGGATCAATTCATTGCTTCTGGACTGCTTTTTTCAATGTCACATCCATGGAAAGTCCATCCAATTCTCAGATCTCAAAATGAAAGATCCAAGACAACTTTCGTCATTTCTTTTCCTTTAACTATCTCTCTCAAACTGACAAGAAAATAACAGTTTAGAAGAAGACAACTTCTCCTCTACTTCATCTTTTTTGCAACATATCCCCTTCATCAATTTGAAATTGAAGGAGAAAAGCAGAAGAACCCATCTAAAGTTTTACGAGAAAAAACCAAAATATGAAGGCCATTAACATCCTATGCCCGACCTGTTGCTCAACCGATTTCTTAGAATGTAGCAGCCCTTTGAATTGTAGAGCTTCGAGAATATGCTTCAGCGTCTCCAGATCCTTGGTTGGTTCATCGATTCCCCACATCTTCAACTGTTTCTCAATCTCTCCATATAGAGAGCCTGCCTGCTTTGGCTCTAGAAAGTGTTAAAAAGTAATCCACTTTCCAGAAGTTTTCTAGAAGTTCAAACTTCTAGAATTAATTAGCACTCTAGAAATTAAATTTCTAAGTCTCTAGAAAAAAGTATTATACTTTCTAGAGGTTTTAACTTCTAGAATGTATTTGGGTCTAGAAGATGATGATTTCTAGAAAAGGTAAAATTCTAGAGAGAGATGTCTAGAATGTTGGTTGACTTTGCTCCACCTACTTGCCTCTACTATAAATAGGGCTAAGCTTGTACATTTGAGAATAATCCAATACAAGTTCCCATTTTCCCAACAACTTGAGCCTTTATCATTTGCTAACATCCTATCTTACCTAGTCTACTCTCTCTCACATCCCAAGTCCTAACAACTCTACTTTCCTCCATATCCCAACAGTGGTATCAGAGCCTGTTCGATTATTTTTGGGCGTTATTTCCTTTTAGCCAAAATTCCCTATTATCCCAAAACTTATCATGGCCACCATTCTAGCTAATAGCCAAATTCCAATCCCCATTTTTTCTAGAGAAAATTAGGACTATTGGGCCATTAAAATGAGGAGTTTCTTCATGTCTCAAGGTCTATGGGAAATTGTAGATAAGGGATTTACAATCCCTGAAAGCAGTTCTACTTTGTTTAAAGTAGAGCAAGAGAAATTACAGAAGAATATGGAAAAAGGATAATCTTGCTCTCTATCACATACAGATGACAATGGCGGATACTCTGTTTAAAGTATCCCAAAGGTGCATGGGATACCTTGAAGGAGGAGTTTCAAGGCAGTGCCAAGGTACGTACTGTTAAACTTCAAACTCTTAGAAGGGATTTGGAGAATATGAAGATGAAGGATTTTGAGATCATTAAAGATTATTATTCTAGATTAAGAGAAATTGTCAATCAATTAAGAGCCTACGAAGAAGATATTACTGAAAAAAGGGTGGGTTGAAAAAATATTAATTAGTGTGGTAGAAAAATATGATCCAATAGTAACTACCATTGAGGAGACAAAAGATATCACCACTCTGTCAGTAACAGAGTTGGTGGGCTCTCTAAAAGCTTACGAAAAAAGACTGAATAGGCATGATGAAAGCTATATGGAGAATGCCGTTTAATCTAAGCTCAATATAAGGTCTCAGAAATCCAAAAGAGATGGAAGAAAATTTAAAGAAAATTCCAAAAAAGAAGAAAGTTGTAGAAATGATGAGAATGGAGGAGATATTAAGAGAGATAAAAAAGGAAAATATCCGCCATGTTGTATTTGCAAGAAAACCAATCATCTTGAGAAATTGTTGGTTTTGGGGAAAACCATAATGTCAAAATTATAAAAAACTTGGGCATGTAGAGAAGGATTGTCGTCTTAAGAAAAGACATCAAGCTAATTACTCTGAAGAGAATGATAAAAATAATTATCTATTCTATGCCTATCATATTGCTTTAGAAGTAAAGGGTGATACTTGGTATTTGGATAGTGGCTGTAATATTCATTTGACAGGTAATGAGAAGATCTTTAAAAATATAGACAAGTCAGTCAAGTCACAAGTTAGGCTTGGCAATGGAGAATTAGTGGAGGTCGAAGGTAAATGAACTATCACTGTTAAGACAAGGAATGAGACACAACTCATACAAGATGTGTTGTTAGTCCTAAGACTGGAGACAAATCTATTAAGTGTTGGGCAAATGGTGGAAAGAGGATATTCTTTACTCTTCAAAGGAGACTCATGCACGACATATGACAACAAAAATAAAAGCTTGGAAATTGCTAAGGTAAAGATGCAACACCAAAGGAATTTTTCAATCATATGGCAATACACCGAGACAATGATGAAGGCTTAGGAAGATGAATCATGGCTTTGGCATCGAAGATTTGGCCACTTCAATTTGCCCGGGCTAAAAGTACTCCATCAAAAAGACATGGTGAAGGATCTACCATCCATTCTAGTGATGAATGACATATGCAAAGGATGCTTGCTTTGTAAGCAACATCAGAAATCGTTCCCATCAAGTGGTTCATGGAGAGCCAAGGCAATCATGGAGCTCGTACATACAAATGTTTGTTGACCAATGAGAACGACATCCTTCGAACAAAGCAGGTACTTCATTCTCTTTATTGATGATTTTACAAGAATGACTTGGGTTTATTTTATGCATGATAGGTCAAAAGTCTTTAAGATTTTTAAAAGATTTAAGAATCTCGTTGAAAAACAAAAAGACCAAAGCATAAAAATGACTAGAAGTGATAGAGGAAAAGAATATACTTTAAATGAGTTCGACAAGTTTTGCAAAGATGAAGGCTTGGAGCATCAGTTGACAATCGGCTACGCCCTAGAGCAGAATGGAGTTTTAGAAAGGAAGAACATAACAGTGATGGAGATGGCAAGATCAATGCTATTGGAACAAGGCATGCCTAAGATGTTTTGGGTAGAAGCAGTATATACTGTAGTCTATCTACTTAACAGATGTCCAATAAGAGCAGTAGAAAACAAGACTCCTATATAAGCTTGGAGCAGAAGCAAGCCATCGGCACAACACTTGAGAGTTTTTGGATGCATTTGCTATGTTCACATTCCAATAGAAAAAAGGCACAAGCTAAAAGAGAAGACAAAGAATGGAATATTCTTGAGATACAATATGCAATCAAAAGGCTATAGAATTTATAGCCTAAAGAGCAAGAAGCTAATTATTAGTCGAGATGTGGAGTTTGATGAGAATGCTACATGGAACTGGAAAGAAGAAAAAGTGGAGAAACATAACATCATGGTACCAAAATTACAAAGACTAAGGCCACTCAGTAATGGAGAAGAAGGACCAAAAAGTCCTCAATCTACAACATCACCATCAACTCCATCATCAGCCACAATAAAAGAAGAAGAACAAGAAGAGTCATTTCCAAAATCACCACTAAGAAGGACGAGGCCACTCAGTGAGGTATATGAGACATGCAACTTTGTAATTATGGAGCCTGAAAGCTTTGAAGCAGTAGCAAAACTAGAAGTATGGATAAAGGCGATGAAAGAAGAAATCGTAATGATTGAGAAAAACAAGACATGGGAATTAGTGGATCGTCTTTAAGACAAAGAAGTGATCGGAGTCAAGTGGGTCTACGAGACAAAGCTCAACTTTGATGGCTCAATACAAAAGCACAAGGTAAGGCTAGTCGCTAAAGGCTATGCACAGTTGCCTGGGATAGACTACAATGAAACCTTTGCTTCGGTGGCACACTTAGACACTATAAGAGCACTCGTAGCGTTAGCAGTACAGAAGAAGTGGAAGATTTATCAA